CATCCACAGCCATGAATTCCATCTTATCCCTTGGCCACAAACTCCGAATCACCGGATTGGACAAACTTGGCCTTTTTGTTTCTTGAATCAAAGCCATATCAATATTTCTGTCAACTAACAGGTTCTTGATTTTTCTCCTCTTTTCTGGTCTACCCATCCCTCTAATGTTCCAACTTAAAAGCTTCATCATAAACAATTTTCAGCTGAATCATCCCCCCAACATGACTGATTACATGGAAACATCAGTCCCCCCTCCTGTTGGACCTCCCTCCTAGCCTCTCTTTATCCTTCTCCTCTAGTTGTACTAATTTCTTCAAAACTTCTGCATCCTGCCCTTTGAAATCAATCCCCAGCCTTTTCCCCAGACTTAGCGTGGCTTGAGCTTCCAGAATTTTATCTGCTTCACAGTTGTTGTGCCTCTCATCTACACACGGTCTCTGCATTGCTGCTGTCACCGTGGCTGACGGCTGAGCCCTGCTTTTTCCTGCACCCACACTTCTCTGCCCAACTCTTCTGGCCAGTCCGTTGAAGCCTCCTACAGCCAGTGGATATTTACATCTACCTTGCCTGATTTCTTTCCTTGGGCCTTGCTTGATCAGGTTATTATTGGAACCACCACTAGAGACACTAATAGAATCCATGCTTTTGGATTTGCAGCCCACCCTTAAGGATTTGCAACCCACCCTTGAATGGTCACCTTCAGAACTTACCAACGGTTGTCTGAGCCCATTCCCCTGAGTTTTGTATTGGGCACAGTCATTGGGTTGGGGTCTATTTTGATCATGGCCCAAATCCACCTCCAAACATACACCAGGTCTACCTTTTTGGGTTTCAGTCACACTTCTAACGAAGCCTTGACTAGAGACCAGCTCTTTGTCTTTTTGAAGCTCATCAACCTTTCCCAACTCATGATTACACTTCTGCAATTGCTGCTGCTGCACACTTGCCTCTTTCATCATTGTATCGCCCATGCCAGAGTCTGTTTCATTTGACTTCCCCATACACTCTTCTGTCTCTTTCACCACTGAAAGCTGCAAGCAACTATCACCTACCCCTATCTCACTCCTTTCCTTCAGCCTAGGGGTTGAAACATCTTTGGCCTTCTCGTTCTTACTTGCCACATCATCCTCCAACTCAGCTTCCTGATCAGCATCGTCTACCTCCCTCTTGCTATCTGCCACTGACTGTAAAACTCCATTAACGTTGGAGTTAACGTCCTCATCTCCCTCCTCAGTGTTATTATCTTTACAGCTGGTCGAAGCCTCCTTACTAGGCTGGTCCTCACATACTCTTATCGGGTATGATTTGCCTTTGCACTCTAGATTCAGACTGGTATTTATCGGTTCCATTACATTTGTGACTATCTTTACCTTTCCATAGCGAAAAGAGGATGGATTGCAGAGGTCTGTATCTAACTGGATCACTTCCCCCCATAGTTGGCCAATCTTTCTGTACGTATCCGAATTCCATAAATTCAACGGAACACCAAAACAGCTAATTGAAGCATATCTTTCCGGCTGAAGTTGCATCCCAGGTTCCCAATCTGTGATGTATATACACCAGGCATGGAACCATTCCTTAATCAAGCCTATCATATTTCTCAAGGCCTCTCTAGATCTGAAAGAAATTATTATATCGCGACCACCTCCTTCTCTCACCAGGACATCCTTCACTCCTTTCAGTTTTAGTTCCGCTTTAACTTCTACAAGAGAGTGCCCAGATTTGAGTCTCATAATCAAGCTCTCATACAACCAGCCATTTCCTATTTCTTCGACTCTGATTGTGGGAATTAAGTGACCTTTTGGTTGAGCTCCTTTGGTGACCTCTACATATGATCTGCCATCTAAGACTTGATTCCAGCTTCTAGATGCGTTAGTGCCCGGTGGCCTTCTTGGCGTCGTTTGTCTCCATTGCACTTGTTTGAGCCTTCTTCTATCATCGCTACCTTTTCCATAGGCTGCACTCTGAACTACCAAGGCTTTATCATCAACCCATAATCCGTTTGTCTTTTGTTCTGCTACACTAGCTGCAACATGGCAGTCAAACCGAACAAATCCAAATCTTGTGTTTGTTGTTTTCCTCCTCTTCTGTGGAATAAAAACATCCTTAACCACTCCAAATTTTCTGAACAAGTCAAACATTCTTCTTGGTTCCATGGAGTCTGGTAAGTTATCTACAAACAGAGTATATATCTGTTCACGACTTCCTTCCTTGTACCCAACTTGATTTGCTGGTCGCCCTCTCCTGTTTAGTACTGGAATCCAACCTCCAGAGGATGTTTGAGGGGGTCTGCGGTAGCCATGGAAGCCTCCATTACCTCCAAGTTCCATCTCCATCTCCTATCCTATTCGACACTCAATGAGGTTGACGTGGTTATGTGAAAAATGTTTGAGTGTTTATAACATTACTGAAAAGAACCATTTAATCTAGCTTATTTTTTAAAATGACATCCACTTTAGAATATTGCCATCCCCAAACAAGGGACACCAGTCACACCACCCAAACCTATTCTTAATCCATTTGTATGACCAAATTGTGTGGCTTGTAGTTTCTGGGATATGAAGCCCTACCTAGCTCAGGCCCAATCCCAACTAACTCTTATTTGGATTTGAGTTATTTTCTGTTTTGTCTAGTTGGTTACTGGTGCAATGGAGTGACTGTTTGGTATTGATTTTGGCAATTAGAATTGATTTTATCTAGAAAATTCTAGCACACATGCCTTTTATTCATTTCATTCAGTACAAGTATAGAAGAAAAAAAACACATGAGGCTTCATTTTTATCCCAGAGAAATAACAAAATTTTGAGCTTTAACCATTATTTTAAGAACCTTTATTTAATAAAACAATATATCTTAAAAGGTGATGGGTCGTTTTACACATAAAAAAATAAACACTAAACTGTACCAAAATTCTTTAGTGCTCATTTGGCAATACAAACTTGGGCTAAATTAGCCACATCCATCCAAAATAGGCTAAATTAGCCACAAGAGACAAAATAGAGTCACGTGGATGGCTATGGGTTCAGGCTCTGTGTAAATTACCAAATTATCCCCATTGCCAATCCATTTGTGTACAGCAACACCAAACCAAACCACACACTTTCCCTCACCTAGGGCTTTTTGGTCTGTAAGGAGGCAAAAATTGAAGACTACCATCGGCAAACAAGAACAGCAACTAAAGCGGTCCATAGCCCAAGCCCACTGAAGTGCACATTGGCGGCGACACTGCAACCATCGTGTCCTCGCCACCACCGATCGTTAGGTACACAGATTTTATTTTCGTTTTGGGTCGATTTGATCTCCTGCAACCCGATCTGTTAGGGTATTCATTAAAAATTGAAATTATTGTTGTGTGGATGTTATTTCTTTGTTTACACTACTACAAATCTAGTTAAAGATCACACTTTGACAAAAAAAAAGATCTCACTTTTATTGGAAGTGTGATAAAAAAAATTAGATTGATATTTTAATCACAGTGTTAGCATCTGAGAAAACCATGGTATGATTTGGATGTTCCATAAATTCTAGTGGAACACGTGTTTTGTTTTTGTTTAGAAATTTGATCTCTGAAATTACAAGATCCGTGGTCCATTCCATTTTTTTGCTCGAACCCTTTGATTCTGCACTCCAGTATATGCTGATTGATGGGAAATTTTGTCATTTTTTTTTGTTGCCATTCTGTACATGTCCTGTTTGTGGAGACTAGGGCCATGTTTGGTTTGTTTTTGAGAAATAAATTTTGGAAAAAATTTTCTAAAATTTTGTTTGGTTTAGTGATTTTGGAATTTTTTTTTTCAAAATCACTTTTTATCTCCAACACATCAATCAATCACTTTTTCTCTCTCCTCTCTCCTTCTTAATCACTTTCTCTCACACACATCTACTCAACTACAACAAAATAGCAAATCATTCCAAACTCCCACACTCCAAAACTATTTTCAAAATATACAACCAAACAATCCAAAAAAAATTCTAAACTCTTTCTCGAAGATTTTTTTTGAAAATTTATCTCCCAAAACCAAACCAAACACACCCTAAATTTTGTGAAGATGAAACATTATCCCAGCACATGTCCTATTTTTTCCATTGTTTCCATTCTTTACATGTCCAAAATTATCGACTAAATATCAGATTTTGTCAAGATCAAACATGATTTTCTATTTATAGACTGAATTTTAGTCAGCAAAATTATCTGAAACGTGATGAGTTGAGAGATACGTACCACATTTTTTTTTTCTTTTTTTCTTTTTTTGTTCTTGGTTGTTGTTGAAGTTGGAAGCTTCATTTTTGTGGGGATTTGGATCCTCTCCATTTCACAGGGAAATAGTGATTCATTTACCTCCTATGATTATAGATTTCAAACTCTTTCTACTTCAACTGCATGTTCTATGATCATAAAATTTGATGGAACCAATATATTGATTTGGGTCGGAACAAATTATGTGTTATGATCTGATTTTTGACGAGAATTAAGATTGGTTTTTATGCATTAAGGCTAAAAAATATGACATTGACAATTTTTTTAATACTAACTTGAATTTGTCCTTCACTTTCAGCCTGATGTCATTCTAATGTTCATCAGGTTTTGATTAAGATAATTGGTTCTTCACTCAGGTATTAAAACAAACTATTATGGGTAAATGCTGAATCTATTAGATCAGTAATACATTATAAATTGCAGTACAATAAAACAGACTATTTGGTTTCATTTGTTATAATTTTTGAAACAGACTATTAAAATTGGTTTTTAATTAAGATTGGTTTTTATGAAACAGACTATTAAAACAGATATTTTGTTTCATTTGTTACAATATTTGAACCCTACACATAAATAATATGAATTGCACTACAATCATTTACACGCTTCTGGTTTAGTATTTGTCAAGTTATTTGTACTTGTCAAATTTTTTCCTTTTGTACAACCCATGTTTTTAGAAACAAATGGGGACATTTGTCATTTTCTACAGAAAGAATTCCTTCACTATGATGTATGTCGCACCTACATGTTAACAATGTTTGTTGTAGTGGTCATTTACACGGTCAGAAAACATACGAATGATTTTTTTTTACCTCAACTGCTACTTCCACTACATGGCCACGTCGAATGTGTGCCTATGGCTACAATCATTGTGTTGTGAAGATATCCAAATCGAACAAAAATGCAAGGCATCCGTACTTTGCTTGTCCCTGCCTTGTAGTTAGTGTCCAATTCAACAACGGTCATAATTGCATTTAATTCCGAACCAATTGACTAATAACTTTGTCATTTTCACTCGTCAGCCCTGTGTTAGTTGGATTGGTTGGTGTGAAAAACCAAGGAGACAGAGCACGGACTATGCGTCCTCCACAAACGACATTGTCATGCACTTGCAGGATGATGTCATACACATTCAACACTCGTTGCATCTCCTTAAAACCATTGTCTCTGTGTTGTGCATTGCCATTGTCATTTTGTTGTTGTGTATGTAATCAAACGTAGCGCTTGAAGTGCATGATTGTTGTAATGATGTTAACTGTAATCACTTGAACATCACCTTTGATTTGTAAAATAGTTAGGCGGAGACGTTAATGACTACGTTAGTGCAACAAAATTATTTAACAAGTGTTTGTATTCCTATGACCACTCGTTCTGCATGAATATTATGTGTTGCTATTCTTATTTTAATTACTGTGCAATGGTTATACATTGTGAATGTAGCAACCAATTATTTTTAATTACTGTGCAATTGTTATATATTAGTAATTCCCATGCAATTTTGTGATTGTGATCATGTTGGCCCGTAAATTACTTTGCATATATTTTTGGTCAGTCCAAATGGCTTCCATACGTACTTCCCCTCGTACCCCTTCAAAAAACAAAGGCATTCCAACAGAGAAGTCTAGTAGTGTTGAAGAAAAAAAAAAGCAGTTCAACCACAAGGCATCCTGGGATAGAGAGTCAACCCGGATTTTCTTGCAGCTGCTTTCCAATGAGATTACAAAAGGGAATCGCCCATTCCTAATCCTAAGCCAAACTAGGTACAAGTCGTTGGCAAAGAAATTTGAAAAAAAAAAACTGGAAAAAAACATGGGCTGAAACAGTTGAAGAATAAATTTATGAGTTTGAAAAAAGAATGGAATGCTTGGAGGAAGTTAATGGATTTCAGCGAAGGAATCTCAAGGATTGGATTTGACAGCGAAACTGGTTTGTTTCAGGCGTCTGATACGTGGTGGGATAAGATGGAATCAGTAAGTAAATTTATATTTTCGCATGTTTTTTTTGTTTCATATTTTTTTATTACCATTTATATTTGTGATTGTTGGTAGTAAAATTTCCTCATATTGCATGTAGTAACAGTTTTTATTTACAATTTTCATTTTTCAAACAAACAAGGTATGTGCAAAGTTTAGGAAAAAAACTTTGGAACACCGCAAGTTGATGGAGACCGTTTTCACAGGGGCTTCTGCTACGAGTAAGAACCATTGGACCTTGGGAGAGACAGTAACTGAACCTGTAACTGTTTCATCGGATTCAGTTGATAGTATAGGATTGTGGCCATTCGTTGATCAGATCCCCGCATGTGCAGCCGATGTGGATCAAGATTCTTCAATGGAACTAGTCGAAACTGCGGTGAAAAGGAAACAGACTTCGTCAACAAGTTGTGCAAAGTCGAAGAAGGCAACCAGTGGTGCATCAATTATAGCAGAAAGAATAAACAATTTGGCCAACGTGGTTCGAACCCAAAATCAGCAAGTCACTGTCAGGCACCTCATTGGTAACGAATCACTGTACACAATTTTGGAGTGCATGCAAGGCCTCAGGGTTATTCCTTCCCTTCTCAGTATGTCGCTATTCCATTTTGCGTCGACACTGATGGACAACGCAGATTACCGAGAGGTGATGATGTGCCAGCCCGATGACAACCACATTATTGGCTGGCTGACACAGAAACAGCTGCAATGCAATGCTGCTGCGCCATTTGCGAGCCTATTCGGGGCTCGATGGGTGTGATAGCGGTTCTTGTAGCTAAATATGGCCTTCTCTTGTCAACGTTGATAAATTTTCATTACCGTGGATGACTTGTAATAAACAGGATGGTTGTTTGTGATGTTTTCATTTTCCGTTTCCTTTTTCTTTTTTCTTTTTTTTTCCCTTAGCTCTACATACTATTCCATGGTTGTATGTGGTATTTATGATGGAACTGGATGCTTCTGTCTTGTTTTTATTATTCACTATGGCGGGCTACCGTGTCATGCTTGTTTATTTATTTATGTTTTTTTGTAGCTTTGTGTACCATTATTTTGGTTATGTTGGTAATGCAAATGACTACTTGTTGGTTTGTATATTACCAACTACTAGCCGTGGGGACATTTTTTTATTATGAAGGAGTTCACTGTTGCACATTGCAGGCTAATGTATAGTCAACATGATATAGTCAACATGATATACATCCATACGTGTAGTCTAAACAGAAATACTTACCTTTCAAGGTATGTCATTTTAAAACACGACTAAGTTAAGTTGACTTGAATGTTTGGAAATTATTTTGACGTGAAATGTAAAAAACACTCTGTTTTTTGTGTCATCAACATTCCAACAACCATTTCATGTACCCCTACAAGTAGTAAGACAATTGGGTTATTTCATTGACGAGATGTTTGTTCAAAATTTAAAACCTGAAAGGGGAGGTAATGCAAAGAAAATTGTAGGCAAATTGCCATTACGTACTAAAACATATTACAGTTTTTTATGTTTATTTATTCATGTTGAAGTGAATGTGTAGATAATAGGGTTTTTGGCAGGACTGTATCGGAGCCATTGATGGAACACATGTTACTGCACAGGTTACGAGGCCGGACGCTCCAACATATTTTGGTAGGAAATACTGTCACATCCAAAATATCATGGCCGTGTGCGATTTTGACATGTGTTTCACCTTCGTATCACTTGGATGGGAAGTATGCACGATAGTCGCATTTTTACTGAGATAATCACAAATGACAATGTACCTTTTCACATCCTGAAGAAGGTATCATATTGCTGAATCAATTTTTTTCGGTACATAAGATTTACAAAAAAAAAACTCCAAAAAATTTATTGGGGTATTTACTTTCAATTGCGAGTAATTTTGTAGGCAAATTTTATCTTGTGGATAGTGGCTATTCAAACCGCATAGGTTACCTAGCACCATTCAAAGGCAGCCGTTACCACCAACAATTCCGCGTTATTGAAAGGCGTAGAACAACAACCAACCTTAGGGAATTATTTAACAAAGTTCACGCGTCGTTACGGAGTGTGGTGGAGCGCAATTTTAGTGCATGGAAAAATCGATGGGAGTTTATTCAAAATATTCCCCGGTATGATTTTGCAAATGTGCAAGTTCAGTTGGTTGGTGCGTCAACGGCGTTACATAACTATATACATAGAAATATTGGCAATCCTACAACTGTTAACCCCATCTGCAACGAGGAAGAGGTTATGACCATAGTAAATGGCATACCGGAAGTTGCACATGACGAGGATGGTTTAATGACTGGGGATGAGAACCCCCATATCACATTGGTGCAAGTTCGCATACGGGACAAGTTAGTGTACATGCGCAATAACGAAATGTTAGGAAACATATAGTTAACCTAATATTCATGTTAGAATATTTAAGAGAAACTGAGAGAGAGAGAGAGAGAGAGAGAGAGAGAATATAACTCTGTATATTTCAATTAATTAATATGAGTGAATACAAAACTCCTTTATATAGGAGAAGAAGAAGCTAATATGGTAATGCACAATATGGTAATGCCTAATATGGTAATATAGATATATGGTAAGTATAATAAATAGAATATATAGTTACTATATTTAATACCCCCCTCAAACTCAAGTAGGGATACCAACTTGAGTTTGGAGAGAGAAACTAAAACATGAAATAAAACTAAAAAAATAAAATAAAAGGCAAATAGATTGCAAAGTCTGAACGGGAGCACAATGGCGCTTGAGATAGATCAGAGGCTGAAGCTAATGTCCGGAGACAGTTTAAGGGATCATATCCATGTCGGACAGTTGTAGAGACTGAATGTTGAACCAGCAAATGTAGCACACACATAACTTATGATGTGGTGCTGAACGATAATGGCAACAGATGATTGAGTGCGCCAGTGGGCAACTTGGATGGTGCGCCAAGGGGCGGCTTGGATGGTGTACCAGGGGGCGACTTTGGTGGTGCGCTAAGGAGACGACTTAAAGAAGGCGCGAAAAGGAGGCGACTTAGAGATTGCGCCAAAAGGAGGCAGCTTAGGAAGTACACCAAAAGGAGGCGGCTTAGAGAGTGCGCCAATGGGACGGCTTAGAGAATGCGCCAATGAGCGGTTTAGAGAGTGCGCCAGGGGGCAACTTAGAGAGTGCGCTAGGGGGTGGCTTAGGGAGTGTGCCAAAAGGAGGCGGCTTAAAGAGTGCGCCAATGGGGCGGCTTAGAGAGTGTACCAAAAGGAGGCGGCTTAGATAATGCGCCAAGGGCGGCTTAGAGAGTGCGCCAGGGGGCGGCTTAGGTGGTTCATATGGTATATCACCATGCTCACCATGATATATGGATAATACCCCCCTCTTCAAACTCAAATACGGTGGAAGATAGAAACCGATTTGAGGTTGAAGCAGAGGGAAAGACAGAGTGGAGCAAAAGCACAATATATATATATATATATATATGATAGAGACATGTGGGGTAGGAATAAACCAGTGGACAAAGAAAGAGATCACCACGAAGAGATACTGACAAGAAAATATGACAACGGAATAGGTTGAGATCCGGCGGGCGACCAAGGCAAGGCTACCGCCCGTTGGTAAAGCAAAATTACTAGGTACTTAACCTAGCTCTGATACCATGTTAAAATATTTAAGAGAAACTATGAGAGAGAGAGAGAGAGAGAGAATATAACTTTGTATATTTCAATTAATTAATATGAGTGAATACAAGACTCCTTTATATAGGAAAAGGAGAAGCTAATATGGTAATGCACAATATGGTAATATAGATATATGGTAAGTATGATAAATAGAATATATAGTTACTATATTTAGCAATTCATGTGTTAGTTTTTTATTCTTGGCAATCCCAGTTGACAAAACTCCTTTCAATTGTACTTGCTTTCGCACTTTTTATTTCAGTGAGGCTATGAGTTTTTAGATGCGAATCCAACCCGAATTATACCTTACAGAGAAGTTTGTGATGTTAATACTTTCAAGATTGCCACTTCGCTGATTATGACGGGGATCGAGTTGCCCGGTCAGCTCGCGGGGGTCCAGGGGGCAGCGCCTAGGCGGGGTCGAGGGGCAGCGCCCCCAAAGCAAAATGCAGAATTGCATTCAAAGTTGCATGTTCGTCCTTGCTCGCTTGAGCGAAGGAGTTCTCGCTCGAGCGAAGGCTGCATCTGGCAAAAAAACCTGAGAAGGATGAATGTACGCTCGAGCAAAGGTTGTGTGGCTCGAGCGAAGCCACTTATGGAAAACACGCATTTTTGGTTCCTCGCTCAAGCGAGAGAGTCTTCGCTCGAATGAGCTTCGCAGTCCCAGATTTCTATAAGTACGTGTTTCTGTCAGATTTTAGGATTACTCCTCCAGATCTTCTTTTTGGATATTAAGGTTTATATCTGGAGATATTTTGCTAGTTTTCTTTGATGTTTAATTGATTATTCAACTCACGGGTTAAGAAGAATACATCAAAGGTTTGTTTGTTCATTCTATACAAAAGAGAGAGTTGTTCTTCGGTGGATTCTGAAGAATTTGAGCCTGAAGCTTTGGTGGATTCTAGAGTGGCTCATCATCAAGACAATTCTGAGGTGAAGACGGGGTTGGAAGAGACACATAGGGATTGGTTCAATTCGGGCGTGGATTCGCTAGGTAATTGAGAGTATACCTGTGCAATTCCTTTATGTCTTTTTAGTGGATTGTTTTGTGGCTTTTGCCCGTGATTTTTTTATCACAATTGAAGGTGTCCAATTGTGGTTTTTCCACGTAAAATCGTTGTGTCGATTTGTCTTGATTGTTTGATTGGGATTGTTGTTTACTGCTTAAAATTGATACATAATCACAAATCAACATCTAAGGGATTTCTAGATTTTTCAATATGCTTATAACAATGTTCAACCATGGTCGGGATGTATGTGCTTATATTATATTGTACAATATGTATGTGTTTACATGAAAACATGAAAGTACTATGGATTACGTGCCTTATTTTGTATATTACCAACTAGCACCCGTTTCTATGTTTTTTTATTATGAGTTGGGTAAAAGGTAGCAGTATGATTTGTACAAAATTTCCTTTAACCAATTGTGAAACACGTGCAGAGGTGATGTGTTTGAAAATAGATACCAAAAGGGAAATTTATGAGTGTGTTTGGTTTGTGTTTGTAGATAAATTTTTTTAAAAATATTTGAGGCAAGAGTAACTGAAATTTTTTTGGTTTGTTTGGTAATATTTTGAAAATAGTTTTACAGTTTGGGAGTTTAGTATGATTTGATGTAGTTGAGAAGATGTCTGTCAGAGAACAAGTGATTGAGAAGGAGAGAGAAAAGAGAAAAAGTGATTGATTGATGTGTAGAAGGGAGAAAGTAATTTTGGAAATTTAGTTTTCAAAAATTGGAATGAAACAAAAATGCAAAAAATTTTCTCAAAACTTATATCTTCACATACAATTTTGTAGAAGCCTTTCATTTTTTGTTTTTTTTTTTTTTTTTTTAAATTTTTAAGAAGGGTAAAATTTTCATTTTTCCCGTAATTATAAAAAATAAAAAATAAAAAAATTCAAGAAAACAAAAACACACGCACAGGTAAATGAAAAGCAAAAGGAACATGGTATGGTGAAGGGCAATTGGATAATTTTACAAATGGACACCTCACCAAAAAGTCAAAAGTCAAAAAAAAAAAAAAAAAAAACCAAAAAACCTATCTCAAACCAGACTTTTTAGCCCCCAAAGATAGCCAAAAAGTCAAAAAGTTAAAAAGCCAACCCACATACCAAACGAACCATTAGAATAACAGTAAGTCCAAATATCGATCCACAAGGACAAATGTGAAATTGAACTAATTTAATTGTTAAATTGTTAAATTAATTTTGATAACAAGATAGATGGTTCATAAACTAACAATAATTAAAATGAACTAAGAAATTAATTTGACAATTAAAATTGTAGTTGGAGATATTGTTTTGGGAAAATTCTAGGGTTATGAATTCATCACTAGCTTATAAACAGGTTCTCAAATTGGAAATCAATAGTGTTACGGTTCAAACCAAATAATACTTCACAACTACAAGTTCGAAGCATTGAACAAGAGAATTATCACGTTCAATGTATAGGCACGAACCATCTCAAGTAATAGGAGTCGTTTGCTCTAAGTTAGGGTAGCAACACGACTCATCCCTCGTAGTATGGCTCGTCTCATATCTTGAATATGAAATAATAGAAAACCATAGCATGAAAAGCATTCAACAATCACAGAAAGTAGAATACTTGAAGAGAATACTGAAAAATATATTTGAAAACTTAAACACCATACAACTTATTCAAACCATTACATAATCAAAAACCAAAAAGAAAACCCTACTTACTTGGCTAGGGTTTCACCAAAACTCTAGAAATAGAAGAACTAGCCACTCATGGAGGAGTGAGAAGAGGTAGAGGAAGAGAAAACCACCATGAGAGATATTCTTGTAGTTTGAAACCCTTCTCTTCAAACCCTAGCCCCTCCTATCCTTTGGAAAATTTCAGAACCCTAATCCAGCCTTTTTTCTACCTTTTATACCTCAAGCTTTTCAAAACAGATTCAAAACATTGGGCACAATTTTCAAGGTATGCCCGCATGTGCGGGAAATGCCACTGCACGTGCGGCGAGGGTTCCGTACGTGCAGGAAAAACCCTTTGCACTTGCGATTTTTGTGGTCTCTATTTGGCTCCAATGGAGGGGTCGTACATGCAGGAAACACTTTTCTATAGGAATGTAATCGATTCGGTATAGTTGGTATTTAGGTAAAAAATTACACCGAACTGATAATGTCTATTTTATTATTTTGAACACCAATACAAACCGCTTCTCCCATCAAACTGCACCGAACCGAACCGAACCGAACCGATTGAAACGGTTCGGTTTGGTGAAGTTTAATCGGTTTAGGATTTTTCAAACTTGAGCCACTTTTAAATATAATCATTAAACTATATAAAAATATTAAATTAGTTATTTGTCTACCATTTCAAATATATCCAATCCATTCATTTAATACATACTTTTCAATTCCTAAATTAACAAAAGAAAAAAAAAAGTTTAAAAATACTAAGGTTTCAAGAATAATGAGTTAGAATTAAGATTATATATAATAAGAGTTTACAAACTTAGGTTATAAAGATGATAAGGTTAATTAATTGAGGTTAATGATTTATTATACTTATTAATATCATTATATTATTACATTATATATATATATATATATATTATATAAATACAATATATGTTGAAGCAGTCGATTTCGGTTTAGATCGATGCACAAGGTGCTTAAACCGATACCGAACTGAAAATGGAAAAAAATCAAATTTAAAAACTGCACAGACCGATTCTTGTTAAAAAAACTGACCAAATATAG